GGGTTCAGAAAGGTTTGGAAGGGGATTTGGGGGATCAGGGGGTTGGAGTGAGGGGACTTTAGGGGGGTTTTGGGGCAGAGGGTGGGTTTGGGGGGCTTTATGGGGGTTTGGGGGTTCAGAAGGTGTAGGGGGTTTGGAGTCTGGAGTATGGGGTTTAGGGGAGATACGGGGGATTTTGGGGTACAGAAGAGTGAGAGGGCACAAGGTGGGTTTGGGGGGCTTTAGGGGGGCGTTGGGTTTCAGGGAGTGGTTTGGGGGGTTTAAACCCCCGTAAACCCCCTTTGGAGTCCAAAGTACGGGGTTTAGGGGAGATATGGGGGGTGTTGGGGTACACTGGGGTGGTTTGGGGGTCACTTTCTGCTGGGGGGCGTCCCCAAACCCCCCCTGACCCCCTATTGGTGCTGTGCCTCCCCCCTCCAGTGCTGTGAGGGACTCATCCAGCTCCCGCTCACCCTCACCTAAGCAGAAGAAGAAGAAGAAGAAGAAGGATCGGGGCAGGTCAGGGGGGTTATTATGGGGTGTAGGAGTCTGTTACGAGATGTAGGTGCTTATTATGGCACGCAGGGTGGGTTATTATGGGTTGCAAGGTGGGGTCTCATCCTTATCACCCCCCCTCCAGGTCTGCCAGTCGCTCTGGGGAGAGGAAGAAGAGCTCCAAGAAGAAGAAGCACAGGTGGGGTGCAGAGTCTCTATGGGGCAGAGCCACTATGGGGCAGGGTTGCTACAGGGCAGCCCCTCATTTACCCCATGCTCCCCCCCCCTTTTCCCATTCCTAGGTCTGAATCGGAGGCCAAGAAGCGGAAGCACCGGTGAGGGGGGGTTCCTATGGGATTTAGGGAATCTTTGGGGGGGGGTATGGGGAGTGGGAAATTGGCTTTGGGGGTGCTGTGATGATGTCACTGATGGTGTCATTATCCCCCCCCCAGCTCTCCCAGCCCCAAAAGCAAGCACAAGGCCAAAGAGAAGAAGCGGAAGAGGTAAGAGTTGTGTCCCCCCCCCAAACCCCCCAAGCTCCCCATTGACCCTACATTGACCCCGAACAATGGGTCCCTCCCAGATCCACCCTGTGACCCCTACCCACTTTATCCTCCACCTTGTCCACCCCATATCCTCCTTGTGTGCCCCAATGACCCCATGAATCCCACTGTTACCCCTGACCCCCCATTTACCCCGCTTCCCCCCCAACCCCCCTTTGTGCCCCTCCCTGCCCCCCAACCCCCCTTTTACCCGCCCACCTTGCCCCCCCCCCCAACTTGTGGGCCCTCACTCCCTCCCCTTTCCCCCCCCTCACTGACCCCCCCGCTGCCCCCCCCCAGATCCACCAGCGAATCGGCCTCTCAGAAGAGCCGCCGCGAGGGCCCCTCTTCCTCCCCTGCTGCCTCCTCCTCCTCCTCCGCCTCCTCCCGCAGCCGGTAAGTCCCAATCCCTCCCTTCTCTGTACCCCACCCCCACCTTGTTACCCCCCCCCCCACCTTACCCCCCCCCGCACCCCCCCGCAGGTCCCGCAGCGTCACCGCCGCCACCCACCAAGACACCGAAGAGCCGGGGCCGGTCCCAGCCCCGGCACCGGCACCACCGGGCCCGGCCCCTGCACCGGAGGTGAGCCCCGGGGGGGGCGCGGCGGGACCGTGTGCGTGGGGGGGGCCCCCCCTTCCTCTCTGTACCCACCCCCATTGACCCCCCCGCCGCCTTCTCTGTGTGTGCCATAGGAGCTGCCAGCGCCGTCGCTCGCCCCCGATGTCCCCACCGAGGAGCCCCAGGCACCGGCGCCGGTTGTGAGCCCCCCCCCGGCGGCACCGGCAGCGACCCCCCCGTCACCAACACCAGCACCAGCACCAACCGCAGCCCCCGCAGCCACAACCGAACCGACACCAACGGCACCCACACCAACCGCAACCGCCCCCCCCCAGCCGCCCCCCGCCGCCTCCCCAACCCCGTCCCCTCCCCCAGTTATCCCCCAGCGCCGCGCCCCCCCGTCCCCCTCCCCCTCTCCATCCCCCCCCCCCCGCCGCGCCAAGAGCCCCCCCTCGGCCGTGACGTCATCGCGCCGTGACCGCTCCCTGACCCCCCCCGCGCCGCCCCCCCCTTCCTCCTCCTCCTCCTCCAAGCGCTCCCGCGCCCGCCGTTCCCGCTCCCGCTCCCGACGCCGCTCCCGCACCCCCCCCTCGCGCTCCTCCCGACGCCGATCCCGCTCCCGACGCCGCTCCCGCACCCCCCCTTCCTCCCGCTCTTCCCGCCGCCGCCGCTCCCGCTCCTCGCGCCGCCGCCGCTCCCGCTCCCGCACCCCGCTCTGGCGCCCCAACTCCACCAGCCCCATCCGCTGGCCCCTGCCGCGCTCCCGATCCCGCTCCCCGGCCCCGCGACGCCGCTCCCGCTCCCCCCGCGCCTGGTCCCGCTCCCGATGGGCCCGCTCCCGCTCCCGACGCCGCTCCCGCTCCGGCACGCGCCGACGCTCCCGCTCCCGACGCCGCTCCACCTCCCGCAGCCGCTCCGGTTCCTCCCCCCTGCCCCGGCGACGCCGCCGCCGCCGCTCCCGCTCCGATTCCTCCGGCAGGTCCCGGCGCGGGCGCTCCCCGTCCACCCCGCCCCGCGGCATCAAGCGGGCCCGCGCCGCCTCCCGCTCCCCATCCCGGCAGCGCCGCCGCCGCAGCTCCACGCGCTCCCCCCCGCCTCCGGCACCCACTTCCCAGCCCCAGGCCACCACCGCCGTGTCCCCCCCCAAACCCAAGCCCCCCTCCCCGGCGCCCCCCCCCGCGCGCCCCAAGTGGGTGCCCATCGCCGAGCTGCACCCGGCAGCACCGCAGCCCCCTCCCGGCTTAGCCAAGGCAGCCACCGCTCCCCCCTCAGCCCCACAAGCAGGGGAGGCCAAAGCGGCTGCACCCAAGTGGGTGCCCATCGGGGGGGGCCCTGCGCAGCCGGCACCCCCCGGCACCGAGGGAGGGGGCAGTGAGGTGCAGGGCGAAGGGAAGCCGCAGCCGGAGGCAAAAGCAGGCACCGGCGACACCAAACCGGCTCCAGTGGCAGCGGCGCAGCCCAGCCCCAAGGCGACCCCTGCAGCGGCGGCACCAGTGACCCCCCCCAAGGCTGCAGAGACCAAAGCCACCCCCGAGGCCAAAGCAGCCACGCCGGTGACCCCGGTCTCCCCAGCTCTACCCAAGGCCATGCCCGTAGTGGCACCAGTGAGCACCCCGAAGCCCGAAGCGAAGCCCGTAGCACCCAAAGCAGCGCCGAGCCCCACGGCACCGGCCACCACCCGGGCACCGCCACCGCCGCCGCCACCACCGAGCACCCTCAAGCCAACGGCCACCCCCAAGCTGTCCCCTGGTACCCCCAACAAGCTGGGGACACCCCCGCCGCCCCCGCCGGGCTTACCCAGGGCCCTGACGGCCAAGCTGCTGCCGGCGGCGCGCCTGGGGCTGCCCTCGTCACCAGTGGCGGCATCGGCGCTGCCACCCCCCCACGGGCACCGGCTCCTGGCCGGGCACAAGGTGATGGCGATGGCTCCCGCCGGTGGCACCATGGGCATCAATGGTGGGGGCGCTGTCGCGGCAGCTGCTAAAGCCACTGTGGACACTGGCACCGGCACCAAGGCCACCGCTACGGACGCCGGGGCCGCCAAGGGCACCGTGGACAGCAGCACCGGCGTCGCCACCCCTAAGGCTGCTGTGGACACCGTGAGCGGTGGCAGCGCCATTGGAGCCGCCCCCAAGGCCACAGTGGACAGCGGCACCGGCGTCACCGTCACCAAGGCCACTTCCAGTGCCGCCATGGCCACCAACAGTGTCACAGCCGCCAGCTCCAGCGCCACCACCAAGGCCGCTGCTGACGCCATCACCAGCGTCACCACCATGGATGTCGCCAGTGTCACCACCACCAAGGCCACCGCTGTGGCTACTGCTATGGCTGCCAGCGCCAGTGCCACCACCGTGGCTGCCATAACCAGCGTCACCACCATGGGCACCACCGCTGCGGCCACCTCCAAGGCCACCATGGACGCTGTCACCGGGGTCACCACCGCCGCGGCTGCCAGCGCCAGTGCAACCACCAAGGCCACCATGGATACAGGCATCGGTGTTACCGTGGCCACCGCCGTGGGCCCTGCAACCACCAAGGCCCCTGGTGGCCCCATGGGTGCCAGCGCCACCGCGGTCGCTGGTGCCACCACCGCGGCCAGCAAAGGCTCTGTCACCATCACCACTGTGGATGGGGGCATCAGGTGTGCGGCTGTCAGCCCCAGTGCCACCAGTGCCGCCTGCGGTACCGTCACCACCATGGCCAGCAGCGTCACCAGTGCAAGCAGTGTCTTCAGTGGTCCCAGTGTCACCAGTGTGCTGAGCCGTCTCTCTGCAACCAGCACCACCAGTACGACCAGTGTGCTCACCAGTCCCGGTGTCACCAGTACGACCAGCGCAACCAGCGTCACCATTGCTCCTAAGGATACCAGTGTCACCAGTGTCTTGAGTCGTCCCAGTGCGACCAGTATGACCACTGTGATCACCAGTCCTGGTGTCACCACTATGACCAGTGTCACCAGTGCAACCAGTGCTCCCAGTGTCTTCAGTGCGACCAGCATCACCAGTGTCCTGAGCCGTCCCAGCGTGACCAGTGTGCCTGCCAGTCCCAGTGTCACCAGTGTCCTCGGTGCGACCAGTGCTCCCAGTGTCACCAGTGTCCTGAGCCGTCTCAGTGCGACAAGTGTCACCAGCGTGACCGCTATGACCAGTGCAACCAGTGTCACCGTTGCTCCTAAGGATATCAGTGCCACCAGTGCGCCCACGGGTCCCAGCGTCACCAGTGTCCTGAGCCGTCCCAGCACAACCAGTGTGACCAGTGTGCCCACAGCTCCCAGTGTCACCATTACTCCTAAGGATGCCAGCGTCACCAGTGTCACCAGTGTCCTGAGCCATCCCAGTGTGACCAGTCTGACCAGTGTGCCCTCTAGTCCCAGTGTCCTGAGCCGTCCCAGTGTCACCAGTGCTCCCAGCGTCACCAGTGTCCTCAGTGCAGCCAACGCTCCCAGTGTCACCAGTGTCCTGAGCCGTCACACTGCCTCCAGTGTCACCAGTGCAACCAGTATCCTCAGTTGTCCCAGTGTCACCAGTGTGCTGAGCCGCCTCACCGCAACCAGCGTCGCCAGTGTGACCAGTGTTCTTACTGGTCCCAGTGTCACCAGTGTCCTGAGCCGTCTCACCGCAACCAGTGTCACCAGTGCGACCAGTATGACCAGTGTCCTTGGGGGTCCCAGTGTCACCAGTGTCCTGAGCCGTCCCAGTGTCACCAGTGCGACTGGTATGACCAGCGTGGCCACCAGTCCCAGTGTCACCAGTGTCCTGAGCCATCTGAGTGCGACCAGTCTGACCAGTGCAACCAGTGTCGCCGCTGTGCTGAGCCGTCCCGGTGTCACCGGTATGACCAGTGCCACCACTGGCGTCAGCGTGACCAGTGCCACCAGTGGCCTCAGTGCTCCCAGCGTGACCAGTTCTGGTGCCACCATCACCACCAATGTAACCAGTCCTGGGCGTGTTCCCATCTCTCCCAGTGCGACCAGTATGAGCAGTCCTCCCAGTGCTGGTGCCACCGTCGCCACCAGTGTGACCAGTCCTGGACATGTCCCCACTGCTCCCAGTGCGACCAGTGTCTCCAGCGCTCCCAGTAGCACCAGTGCCGCATGCGTCCCCATTGCCACCAGAGCTCCGAGGGACACCAGTGCAACCAGTGTCACGAGTGCCGCCATCGTGTCCATGGACACCAGGACCACCAGTGCTCCCAGTGGCACCAGTGTGAGCAGTATCACCATTGCTCCTAAGGATGCCGGTGCTCCCAGTAGCACCAGTGCTCCCAGTGTCACCGTCGTTCCTAAGGATGTCGGTGCTCCCAGTGTCACCAGTGCTCCTAAGGATACCAGTGCTCCCGGTGTCAGCAGTGCTCCTAAGGATACCAGTGGCACCGGCCTGACCAGTGCTCCCAGTATCACCGTTGCTCCTAAGGATACCAGTGCTCCCAGTATCGCCAGTGCTCCCAGTGTAACCGTTGTTCCTAAGGATGCCGGTGCTCCCAGTGGCACCATTGCTCCCAGTATCACTGTTTCTCCTAAGGATACTGGTGCTCCCAGTGGCACCATTGCTCCCAGTATCACTGTTGCTCCTAAGGATACCATTGCTCCCAGTATCACCGTTGCTCCTAAGGATACCGGTGCTCCCAGTGGCACCATTGCTCCCAGTATCACTATTGCTCCTAAGGATACAGGTGCTCCCAGTGGCACCATTGCTCCCAGTATCACTGTTGCTCCTAAGGATACCAGTGCTCCCAGTATCACTGTTGCTCCTAAGGATACTGGTGCTCCCAGTGGCACCATTGCTCCCAGTATCACTGTTGCTCCTAAGGATACCAGTGCTCCCGGTGGCACCATTGCTCCCAGTATCACTGTTGCTCCTAAGGATACCAGTGCTCCCGGTGGCACCAGTCCGACCAGCGCTCCCAGTGCCACCGTCGGCATCGCTCCCAGCATCACCAGGGCCGCCGCGGACACCACAGCCCCTGGTGTCACCGTCGCCCCTCCGGACACCAGTGCTCCCAGTGCCGACAGCGTCCCTATGGAGACGGCTCCTGACGTCACGGCCGCGCCGAAGGGCGGCTCCTCCTCCTCGTCGTCCTCGTCCTCCTCCTCGTCGTCCTCTTCCTCCTCCTCCTCCTCTTCCTCGTCCTCCTCCGACTCCGACTCCAGCTCCAGCTCCTCCGAGTCCGGGCCCCCCTCGCCGGCACCGCCTGGCCCCGCCCCTGACGGGTAAGACACGCCCCTTCCCTCCCATATAAGGGCAAGTCGCGCCCTCTGTTTGCATAGATCCCCTAAAGCCACGCCCCCTCCGCCGGGCCACGCCCCTTTGTCCCCAGGGTGCCCCCAGCCCCAGTTTGTGCCTCATAGCGCTCACTTACGGGGCTCACCTGTACACATGGGTGCCCCCATCCCCACCCCATGTATCCATGGGTGCCCCCACCCCGGTCTGCGCCCCATAGGGCTCCCTTATGGGATCCCCTGTCCCCATGGGTACCCCCATCCCCACCCCGTGTCCCTATGGGTGCCATTGCCCCCCTCCACGTCCCCTTAGGCCCTCACTGGGGTCCCTCACCCCCCCGCTCTGCCCCCCACAGGTCCCCCAGTGCCGCCACCACCACCACGGCCACGGAAGGGCCGGCCCCGGCAGCCCCGGCACCCCCAGACCCGGCAGCCCCGGTGACCCCGGCCCCAGCCCCGGAGCCCGCGGCGGCGGCAGCAACAGCGGCGGTGGCAGCAGCGCCGCCATCGGCGGAGACCCGGGAGGGCCGTGCCGCCACCGTCACCCGCCGCAAGCGGCGCCGCTCTTCCTCCTCCTCCTCCTCGTCCTCCTCCTCCTCCTCTTCCTCCTCGTCCTCCTCCTCCTCCTCCTCCTCTTCCTCCTCCTCCTCCTCTTCCTCCTCCTCCTCCTCCTCTTCCTCCTCTTCCTCCTCTTCCTCCTCCTCCTCTTCTTCCTCCTCCTCCTCCTCCTCGGCCCCTCCCGCCGCCGCTCCCGCAGCCGCCCCCCCCCAACCCTCCTCTTCCTCCCCGCCCCCCCCGGACCCCCCCGACCCCGCCAGCGCCCCCGCAGCGACCCCCACCCCCTCCAAATCCCCCCCTCCCCCCACCTCCTCCGCCCCCCCTGCTTCCACCTCCACCCCCACCCCCTCCACCCCCACCCCCACCACCTCCTCTTCCTCCACCTCGGAGCCCCGCCCCCCCCTCCTCTCCCTGGTTCCCGCCAAAACAGGGGGCGCGGCCACGGCGGCCACGCCCCTCGCTCGCCCCCCCGGCTCCCTCCTCGCCCTCCCCACCGCCCCCTCATTGGCCCGCGGCATCGCCGGGGGCGGGGCCCGGCCCTCGCCCCGCCCCTTGGCCCCCCCCGGCTCCCTCCTCAGCCTCACCCCGACCCGGGCCGGGGGTGGGGGGGGGGCGGCGGGGGGGGGGCTGACCCCGAGGGGCCCCTTCCCGCTGCTGGGCGCGGGGGGGGGCGGCAGAGCAGGGGGCGGGGCTTTCCCGCGCCCGGCCACTCCCTTTTTGGCCACGCCCCCCGGGCGGGCGGGAGGGGGCGGGGCTTACCCGCGGAGCCCCGCCTCCTCCTCCTCCCCTTTCCTGCGCGGGGGGGCCGGTGGGGTGTGCGGGTTCCGGTCCTGCCTGCATCGTTTCCAGGGTAACGGGCTTATGGGATGCGGCGGACGTATGGGTGGGAGCTGCCTGCACCGTTTCCATGGTAACGGGGGCCTCGGGGGGGCGGGCTTCGGGGGCTGCGGCAGCCGATTGGTCGGGCTGTGCGGGCAGCGGGCATCCCTGGCGGCCAATTGGGGCGCAGGAGGGCTGGGCGGGGCGGGCGGCGGCGGCGGGGGGGGCTGCTGCTGCCATCACCACCACCACCACCACCCCCCCCATCTCCATCCCCGCGTCGGGGGGGGGGGGACCCCGCCGCGAGCCCCCTCCCCGTTCGCCATCACCCCGGCCATGGCGTCCCGCATGGCCCAGTACGGGATGGGGGGGGCCCAGTACGGCATGGGGGGCGCGGGGGGGGGCTCTTCCTCCTCCTCCTCCTCCTCTTCCTCCTCCCAGTATAGCGTGGGGGGGGTGTCCCAGTACAGCCTGAGCTCGGCCCAGTACAACACCGCCTTGTCCCAGTACGGCAGCGCCCAGTACCAGTACGCCATCAGCGCCCAGTACGCCCAGTACGCGCAGCTGGCGGCCTCCCAGTACCCCGCCAGCGCCAGCAGCAGCACCAATGAGGTGACCCCGTACACGGCCACGACCACCGCGGCGGGCGGCGGGGGGGCCGCGGGGGGGGACTCCCAGTACAGCACCAGCGCGGCCCAGTACGCGGCCAGCGCCGCCCAGTACGCGGCGTCGGGGGCCGCGGCCGCAGCGGGAGGGGGGGGCACGGACGCGGCCCAGTACGCGACTGGGAGCCAGTATGGGGGGCAGTGGGGGGATGTGGGGCAGGAGGCGGCGTGGGGCAGCTCCGGGGTCACCTGGGGGTCGTGGGTATCGCCTGCCCCATAGAGGGTCCCTGTTCCCTCCACCCCCACCCCCCCCAACCCCCACCGCACATACGTGTGCGGCCCACACGTGACACGCGACACGCGTGTGGAAGGCGCGGAGGCCTCGGCGGCGCCCCTCCCCCCCCCCACCGTGGGATCGGGCCCAGGTGAGGAGGAGGGGGGGGAGGGGGGGCTGCTATGGGGCACGGGTTGGGGGGGGGGGGTGTGGTAGTGCTATGGGGCACACTTAGGGTGCAGAGATGTAGGGGTCTGTGTTGTGTCCATGGGGTGGATGTTGTGTCGATTTAGGGGGGGGGGTTGTTGCTTATGGGGTCCATAGGGAGGGAGGTATCTATGGGGTTCACGCTGGGCCCACTAAGGGGGCAAAGCTATAGGGCCCGTTGTTGTCTGGGTGGGGAGGGATCTGTGGGGCCCATGGGGTTCACATTGGGCCCGCTTAGGGGGCAGAACTATAGGGCCCATTGTTACTTGCGGGGGGTGGGGGCGGGATATGTGGGGCCCACGGGGTTCACGTTTTGGCCCACTTAGGGGGCAGAACTATAGGGCCCATTGTTACTTGCTGGGGGCGGGGTGGGATATGTGGGGCCCATGGGGTTCACGTTTGGCCTGCTTAGGGGGCAGAGCTATAGGGCGCATTGTTACCTGCAGGGGGCGGAGGGGGGGATCTCTTGGGCCCATGGGGTTCATGCTGGGCCCGCTTAGGGGGCAGAGCTATAGGGCCCGTTGTTATTTGAGGGGGGAGGGATCTATGGGGCTTGCGCGGGGGTGCTGTGAGCAGTTGTGGGTTGGGGGGTTCTATGGGGTGTGTTCTTATCACTTACGGGGCCCATGGGGTTCATGTGCTCACTTAGGGTGCGGAGCTATAGGGCCAGCTATAGGGCAGTTCAGTTGTATGGGGCCCGTGGGGTGGGCATTGGGCTGAGTTGGCGGTTAGATCTAATGGGGCTCATTGTGCTTACTTAGGGGGCAGATGAATGGGGCCTGTGGGGTGGGTGTTGTGCCCGTTTGGGGGGCAGATCTGTGGGGCGCTTTGTTGCTTGTTCCTTAAGCTGCTTTTAATGGTGCTTGTTGGGGGAGGGTGGGAAGACCCCCACTTGGGGGGCAGAGGCGTGGGGCTTAGTCATTTGCATCAGCAGTTGAGAGGGCAGGCGCTATGGGGCAGAGCAGTGGGTCTGGCAGTAGGATGTGGGGCTTGGAGGGGTGTTTGTGGGGCTGGTAGCAGGCGGTGGGGCTGGCAATAGGATGTGGGGCTGGGAGGGTGTCTGTGGGGCTGCCAGCCAGGTGTGGGGCTGGCATCAGGCTGTGAGGCTGTCTAGGAGGGCTGGCATCAGGCTGTGAGGCTGCCTGTGGGGCTGGCAGCCAAATGTGGGGCTGGGAGAGGGGCTATGGGGCTGACAGCAAGGTGTGGGGCTGGCATCAGTCAGTGGGGCTGGCTGTGGGGCTGTCTTCAGGCTATAGGGCTGGCAGCAGGATGTGGGGCTGGTATCTGGCTGTGGGGCTGCATATGGGGCAGCAGCACCCCCTCCATGGGGCGGGTGGGGGGGATGGGGGGGGGGTGGTGTTGGTACCAGCCGCGCCGTGGGGCAGCAGCGCCGTGGGGCTGACCCCTGTCCCCCCCATCAGCCACAAGCGGTGCCCGCGC